GGATTATTGAGATGGCTGCCACGTCAAAAGTGGAATTGAAATTAAAAAAAAATTAAAAAAAAAAGGAGAAAAGATTCCCTATGAGACCTTTTTTTTTTAAGGATAGTGGGGAACGAAGATTCTGGATTGTTATGGTCATTTTCATGGCCAATGCCAAACAAAAATCTGCGCGAGTGAGACGCTTTCCCAAAGCAAATTGTTAGGAAGGCTGTGTTAAGGGCAGGCGTGGCTTGTGGCTTGTCGCTTGTCGCTTGTCGCCTGTCGCCTGTTGCCTGTCGCCGTGGTGGGGCTGCTGCTGCTGCCTTCCTTTCCTTTTCATTCTTTCTTCATTCAAACCTTCATTCATTATAATGTCGACATTATGTTTTCATTTATTTACTTTTAATACTCCTGGGTTTTAGGATTCGGATTAAGATTTAGAATACAGATCTGATGATGGAGGGTTATGACATTCTCGAGCTTCTTATGACATGATTATGTCACTTACTTGACTTGAACGAGTTCTAATATCCCCAAAATTTATGTTAGGATTTGGAATATGGGTTCGACTATCGAGGGTCTCGACATTTCTCTACTTCTTTTGCGACATAACTATGTTACCTATTTGACTTGAATGAGTTCTAATATCCTCATAATTCAAACGAGGGTTTGGAATCTGGATTTCAATACATGAGATTCTTGACATTTCCCTACTTCCTGTGCGATATGACTATGTTGTTGTAAGTTGTCAGAAAGATGCATTGTCACAACTCTCATTTAGTTCATAATCCTTGATGTTCATATTCTCGTTCATTTTGGTTATTAATTTTCATTTAGTTTATAACCATTTTGGTCCATATCCTTATTTGTTTTGGTTAGCCCTCGTTTGGTTTATAACCCTTTTGATTCATATTTCAGAATTAATATTGTTATGCATGTATAAATGTTTGTCTAGCATTATATTTGCCTAGAGGTAATTGAGAGGAATTTTGTAAGAGAGACTTTGTAGTGTGAGAGTGTGAGAGTTAGATACACTCGTAAACATTTTGATTGTAGTGATTTGCTACTACCAGTGGATTTAGGGGAATTTCTTCTCTCGTAACCACGTAAATCTTTGTGTCTCTTTGTTTAATTTCTGTTTGTGGGTGTGTGAGTGCGATCGTTCTTACTTCGACTTCTGCAACGATAATTGGGTATCAAAGTACTTTTTGTTGTAGCATTTGCACTACAACAATTGGGTATCAAACATTAAAGGTTGTAACATTACGACACAACATATGTCACCCATTTGACTTGAACGAGTTTTAATATCGCATAATAGAATTAGGATTCGAAATCTAGATTCAACAATTGAGAGTCTTGAGATTCTCCTACTTCTTCTGTGATATGAGTATGTCACCTACTTGACTTGAACGAGTTCTAATATCCCCACATGATTCCTAGGAAATTTATCAAATGATTACCTAACATAGGATTACTCCAAACCAAACATGTTTAACTTTGAAATTCATATAATTGTGTGACAAAAAAAGAAATTATGTCTCGTTCATATAGATGGTAACTGTAAATTATTTTGAGTATTTTTTAATTATAGTTTCATATGCCACAGAGTACTCTCATTCAGATGTGGTATTAGTTCATTCACGTACTTTTTGTTTACTCGAACGTTACATCTGACGGTTCATCTCAAAAAACAATAATTTTATTGATATTAAATTGGGTTAAGGTTAGGTGGATAATTTATTCGCCGAACTCTCATCTTAAAAAACGTTTGTTTGTTGTTCGTATTTTAGTGAGAGTTCTGTCAATATTAAAATAAAATTTATAATATATTGCTAAGTAAAAAATAATAATAATTCAATTAATCAATATAATATCTTGATTAAAAAAAAAAAGATGACAAGATTTTCTCTCTCGAGTCAAAGTCACGTCTTTCAAAATCTTTTGATCTGTTATATTATTTTATTATTATAATGCTGGTATATATATGACATTTAGACAAAATCGTGTCTACTTGTGCTGCCCAACATGAAACGACTCAAATTGTATTGAAGAGAGACCAAATAGTTATCAAGCCTTCTCGACTGAGCGTCGTAAGCTTTCTTGGTTAAATGTTTTCAATGCAATTAACATTTACAGTATCCTCGCTCACATTTTATAAAAATATTCTCTTAATATGTCACTCGAGACTAAAGATTATATTGAAATTATGTGTAAAGTATAATTTTTATATAGTTTGTTCGTCGGATTAGAACATATGTCATCCAATCACTTTTTTGTTGTACCAACCCAGATCCACCGCTAGCAGATATTGTCCTCTTTGGGCCTTCCCTCTCAGGCTTCCCCTCAAGGCTTAAAAACGGATCTACAGGTTTCCACACCCTTATGAATGGTGGTTTGTTTTCCTCCCAACCAACGTGGGACATCATATTTGTTGTCAAAAGAGTATATACATATTAATCATGGATTAATTAAACTTATTATAATTTATTTATTAAACATTAATAAGATTTTTATTCATGTAAAACAAAAGGATAAACATTACTTTATTAAGTTCATCCACATCAATCAAATAAATCTCATTTCACATGTATTTTGCTTACTTTATCACTTTATATTATTAAAATAAATAAATAAATAACGGAAGGATGTTGGATTTATTAGAATTGGTGCACGTGGAAAATAGCTTTTCCAAAAGTTGTCTTCTTTCAATAAAATTAAAGAAAAAAAAAAGAAAAAGGAAATGTCTTCTCAGCCATGGAATATGTTCATACAATATATACACTTTCTTTATATATATATATATATATATATATATATATATATAATTTCTAATAAATTAAAAAAAAAAACTTACCTTTGCAATATATTTTAATAATTCCTTTTATGTGGATTTTTACCTTGTTTTTATTATTTATTTTATAAAATACAAGTTTAAAATATAAAAATATTATAATTATACCCATCGGTTAAATTATACATACCAGTGTTTTTTCTTGAATTTAATAGAGAAATAATTTAAACTATTTTTTCTTTTTTTGAAATTACAGGAGTTGGAAGAAATATACTTTCCGAGAATGTTTATGTTTTTATTAACGATGAATTCAAACTTTAAATTTAAAATTATGAATTACATTAAAAAGTAAAAAAAAATAATTTATTTAATTTTTAAAATGAGAAGGTGTATAACATAATATTATAACAAACTATATATTATTTCAAAATAATAAAACTACATATCCATAAATTAATAAATTAATGAAATATTTAGTTAGTAACTACAATTTTTTTTTTGTTATTATCGTAAATATATATAACAGTTTTTTTACATGAAATAAAATATATTATTTTTTTGGAAATATATCACAATTTTGGTAAGGCAGACTATTTTTCAGTTATCCATGGAACCCAATTTTTTACTTTTTTTTGTAATTAAATTATGTTTTTTTATGTTTATACAATGAATTTCCAATTATATCCTACAGGCAACCCACCTACCAATTTTGAATTACACATTAAATAATATTATTATTAATAATACAAATAAAATGGTACATAAAGAAATTTGAAAAAAATAGGCGTAAATGACAAAATCTTAATTAAATTAAATATTATGTCTCACATTATATATATTTATGAATTTATTTCTATAATTAAAAAAAATATTATATTTGGTAATTGTGTATATATGTTAAATTAAATTATATTTTCTTTTCAAATAAACTGAAAGAAAAAAATCACTAACAAATTATATTAAATAAAAAAATACAAAACAAAAAAAAATACTATGGATAATAAATCACTAAAATACACAAAATTAATTAATTAGAGATAATTTTGATTTATAATAGAAATCCACAATATTTTTTATTTTAAAAAAAAACCCTATATTTTTCCATATTTATTTGATGCATTTAATCAACTTATTAATTAGAGAAATATTATTTAATTTAAATTAAATTACTATTATATTCGATTTTTTTTACTTAAAAAGATTATTTAAGTTGAAATTACTAATTAGCCATCAAAAGCCAAAAGTTTAAATACTTTTTTTTATCTTTTTTTAAAAAAAATTACCTCGTGGTAATGGCACGTGAGACTCACGTTTGCAGCACACGCCAGCGGGATCTCTGGCACGCGCCGAGCCCGGTTTGAAAGGGTTGGCAACTCGGTGCCACCCATCAGTCACACGACTTGGCGTTACGTCATCAATCCACTCTTATCTCCAGGGTAATAATCCACGTGGCACCCTTTCATTAGTGCACGGGATTCGATAACATTAACGTGACTGGACCAAATACTCCTCTTACGAATAAAGTTCTTATTCCTGAACCCAAAAAATTAAAATTAAATTTAAAAAATAATTTATTTATTTTTACTTTTGTGTTTATTTGGATAAATTAACTTTATAATAATGGATTTATTGCCCTTCTATTTATTAAGTTTTTGCCTTTTTTTTTCTTTTTTTTATATTAATAGTAGCTATAATTATATGAATAATATTAATTTTTACCTATTTAATTTGTAATTAATTTTAAATCAAAACAATATTGGTTTAATTTTGTGTGGTCCCATCACTGACTCTAGTTAATTTCACTCGGGACCACTATGTGATTTATGGAAACTATAGTTTTTAAAAATATTTAAGATTTAATTTAATTTAATTAAAATTTATCATTTTCATATACTAGATAAGATTTAAAAAAAAATAATAATATGTAACTATATATATATTATTTTAACTAAATATTAATATTAAATATCCATTAATTAAACTTAAAAAATATTCATAAATTTAACAATTAATAAACCATATAAATAAAACACTGTGATTTTTAAGAATAATAATCCATTTAAAGATTTTTAAAAAAATAGGGAAATGTGAATTTAAAATGGAGTCATTATGAGGGTATTATCGGAATTGCAAGTTCATTGGGAGGTGAAGTACTATAATGGAGGGATTATATGGTTTTTAGCGGCTTAATTGGACCGAAAATGATGAGCTTGGGACGACAAAGACTAGTCTGAAAAGTGACAGAGTTTTCTATTTTTAAATGCGATTCCATATATAAAGAACATGTTCACTGGCCACTGAGATAAATCCACCAGGTTTTTTTTCTCAAATTTTGTTTCAGTTTTCATCATTTTCACGGGGTTCTTCCTGTTCTTGTTTTGTTGTTCTGAATTCCATGGATTTCTTCTCTTGTTGAGCTATTTCTATTTGAACTCACATTTCGGTTTCTGAAATTACTCTGTTGATTCTTACTGAGTTTGCCGTCTTCTTCTCAATGCGTTTCGAGATTTAAACGCAAATTTTCATGGATATTCCTTCTATTATCGTAAATGCTGTGTTTATTTTTGCATTATCGATGTGGATTTTGCTTCACTCGTGTAGACGAGAAGCAGAGAGTGGAATCCCTCAATCGAGAAACAGAGCATTTCGAGAGTTTAAATGGCTAACCAGCATTACGATCTTTTCTAATGCTGTTCTTCCGTTTTGGTATTCTGGATTTGCTGCTTATGAGTACTGGAATCATGGAATCGTTGATTGGGGATTGATCATCTCAGCTTTAACGTGGATTTTCGCCGCTGCGATTGCTTTCTACTGGAGAAATGGAACGAATCATCAAGCCAAAAGATGGCCGTTGATTCTAATTGTTTGGTGGATTTTCTCTTGTTTGTATGGATTAGGTTCTTCGATTATTTACCTGCTTACACACTTGAAATCCATGGAGTTTCCTCATTTTCTTCCAAAAGCTACTGTTATAGATTTTGCTTCATTCACTCTGTCTTTGATCATCTGCTGGACTGCACTGATTGTTAACTATCATGATAAACACAATGATCTTGAGAAATCATTGCTCCAAAAAGAGAATGATTCTTGTTCTGAATATGATGGTGGGTTCATCAGTCCTGGATTTTGGAGTCAAATTACATTCCAATGGCTAAACCCTCTCTTCAAAAGGGGGAGGAATCAAAAACTTGAATTAGTTCATGTTCCTTGTGTTCCTCAATCTGAAACAGCTGAATATGTTTCCTCCTTGCTGGAAGAATCGCTTCAGAGAAAGAAAATTGAATCATCTTCCTTGCCCAAAGCTATAGTTCTTGCTACATGGAAATCTCTGGTTTTAACTGCAATATTTGCGGGTACTGTTCTTGCTTACACTATTTGAATTCTTCTCTACAAACTTTAAATCTTTGTGGTTCTCTAATTTCTTCTTTGTTCAAAACTTTTATTAGGAGTCAACACATTAGCATCCTTTATGGGGCCTTTCTTAATCTCCAACTTTGTGAATTATCTGTTGGGAAAAGGCGATAAATCAAGCAACCGTGATGGGTTGATTCTTGCATTCTTCTTCTTCTTTGCTAAGACATTGGAGTCTCTTACTCAAAGACAGTGGTATTTCGGCACTCACCGTGTCGGTATCCAGGTAAGGGCAGCTCTTACAGTGATGATCTACAAGAAATCTATATCTGTTAATGCTGCTGGTCCAAGTAATGGAAAGATCATTAATCTAATAAATGTTGATGTTGAAAGAATTGGAGACTTCTCTTGGTATATCCATAAGATTTGGTTGCTTCCTGTCCAAATAGCTCTAGCACTTATCATTCTTTTTAGGAATCTTGGAGCTGCTCCTTCCATTACTGCTCTGTTAGCTACAATATTTATAATGGTAAGCAACACACCTTTAGCTAATGTACAAGAAAGTCTACACTCGAAAATAATGGATGCAAGAGACTCTAGAATCAAATTGACATCAGAGACTCTAAAGAACATGAGAGTCTTGAAACTTCATTCTTGGGAACAGACGTTTATGAAGAAAGTCTTGCAACTTCGAGAAGTCGAAAGGAGCTGGTTAAAGAGATATCTCTATACATGCTCCGTTATAGCATTTCTGTTCTGGGTTTCACCAACTTTAGTTTCAGTACTTACTTTTGGTGCTTGTGTTATGGTGAAAATCCCTCTAACAGCAGGCACGGTTTTATCAGCCATTGCTACTTTTAGGATCCTACAAGATCCAATTTATAACCTACCGGAGCTGATTTCCATGATTGCTCAAACAAAAGTCTCCCTTGACCGTATACAAGAGTTCATTCAAGAAGAAGATCAAAGGAAGCAGATTTATCATCCTCCTTCCAGTTCATCAGATATCGTGATCGAAATGGAGGTAGGGGAGTATTTGTGGGAAGCGAGCGATCTAAATTTTAAGAAACCAACGATTAAAGTTTCAGAAAAGATGCAAATACCAAAAGGTTACAAAGTTGCAGTTTGCGGGTCGGTCGGTTCGGGAAAATCAAGCCTACTTTGTAGTATACTGGGCGAGATCCCACAGATTTCAGGAACACAAATGAAGATACATGGAACTAAAGCTTATGTTCCCCAAAGTGCTTGGATCCAATCAGGCACTGTAAGAGAGAATGTGCTGTTTGGGAAGGAGATTGATAAACATTTTTATGAGGATGTGCTAGAAGCCTGCGCTCTGAATCAGGATATCAAGCTGTGGCTGGATGGCGATTGCACCTTGTTGGGAGAGAGGGGTGTGAATCTAAGTGGTGGACAAAAGCAGCGGATTCAATTGGCAAGGGCAGTGTATAGTGATGCAGATGTTTACTTCCTGGATGACCCTTTTAGTGCTGTGGACGCATGTACTGGAACACATTTGTTCAAGGTAAGCATCACATTTTTGTTATTCCTGTAGTCTCTTTCGTTTTAAGATTCTTACACGAAACTTTAATGATAATGCAGAGATGTCTTTTGCAACTTCTGTCTAGTAAAACTGTTGTATATGCTACTCATCACTTGGAATTCATAGAAGCTGCGGACCTTGTTCTGGTAAGTACTCCAGTTTTTTCGTCGTTTTCCATGGAGTATCACAAGGATTGTTGGGAGGGAATCCCATATTGACTAATTTAGGGAATGATCATGAGTTTATAAGTAAGGTATACATCTCCACTGGAATGAGGCTTTTTAGAAAACCAAAGCAAAGCCATGAGAGCTTAGCTCAAAGTGGACAATATCATACCATTTTGGAGATCCGTTATTCCTAACATGGTATTAGAGTCATGCCCTTAACTTGCCATTTCAATAGAATCCTCAAATGTCGAACAAAGAAGTTGTGAGCCTCGAAGGTGTAGTCAAAAGTGACTCAAGTGTCGAACAAAGAGTGTACTTTGTTCGAGGATTCTAGAGAAGGAGTCGAGTCTCGATTAAGGAGAGGTTGTTCGAGGGTTCCATAGGTCTAAGGGGAGACTCTATCGTGTACTTCGTTCGAGGGGAGGATTGTTGGGAGGGAGTCCCACATTGACTAATTTAGGGAATGATCATGGGTTTATAAGTAAGGAATACATTTCCATTGGTATGAGGCCTTTTGGGAAAGCTCAAAGCAAAGCTACGAGAGTTTATGCTCAAAGTGGACAGTATAGTATAATATCATTGTAAAGATCCGTTATTCCTGACACTAACCCCAACTGCATCCTATTGAATTCGAATGCTTTTGCTTTCAGGTAATGAAAAATGGTCATATTGTTCAATCAGGAAAGTATGCAGAATTAATATCAGATTCGAACGGTGAACTTGCTAGACACATTGCAGCACATAGAAGATCACTGAATGGAGTTAAGCCACTGAAAGAAGATAAACCCCATCATAAAAGACCATGTAAGACACATCAAATAGAAGCTCTAGATGAAAGTTCTTCCTTGTCCCTTGGAAATGGTGGCCATTCTGTGAGAGCTCAAGAAGAGGAAGCGCAAACCGGTCGAGTACAGTGGAGTGTCTACTCAACCTTCATCACATCTGCTTATAAAGGAGCTCTTGTTCCTGTAATCCTTCTGTGTCAAGTTTTGTTTCAAATCCTTCAAATGGGCAGTAATTACTGGATTTCTTGGGCAACAGAAGAAGAAGGCAAGGTCAGCAGAAAGCAGTTTTTCGTGACGTTCGTTTTGATGTCCGGTGGGAGCTCCATCTTTATATTAGGCCGTGCCGTTTTTATGGCAACCATCGCTATCGAGACGGCACAACGAATGTTTCTTGGAATGGTGACATCAATATTTGCAGCACCTATTTCATTTTTTGATGCCAAACCTTCAAGCCAAATCCTTAACAGGGTAATAACCTTCTCAACGTGTTTGTTATCGTCACGTCTATTAAATGTTTGTATTACGTCAATAATGTTAACCTCCCTTTTCTTCTTCTCTATGATGCAGTCATCTACTGATCAAAGCACCTTGGATACAGATATCCCTTATAGATTAGGAGGATTGGCTTTTGCACTCATTCAGCTGTTGAGTATCATCATTCTGATGTCCAAGGTTGCATGGCAAGTTTTCCCACTCTTCCTTGTCGTCCTTGCTCTCTCTATATGGTACCAGGCGAGAACATAAACCCACTTTTAGCTTTTCATTTACTACCAGTTCATCAAATATGATATCAAAAAGCAAGTAGTTTTAGGATTTTAATCCTTAACTCATCAGGTTTAGTGTCTTGAAATGTTTTTGATTCCCTTTACAGGGATATTACATCAGTACTGCTAGAGAACTAGCTAGAATGGTCGGGATTCGAAAGGCTCCGATTCTTCATCACTTTTCGGAAACAGTCGTTGGTGCAACAATTATCCGTTGTTTTAATCAAGAGGATCGTTTCTTGAGAAAAACACTGAAGCTGGTTGATGATTATTCTCGTGTGGTCTTTCACAACTCGACTTCTATGGAATGGTTGTGCCTACGGATCAATTTTCTTTTCGACGTCGTCTTCTTTCTTGCGCTCGTCATCTTAGTGACCCTTCCTAGAACAGCTATTGATCCTAGTAAGTTGATCTGTCACTGCCATCCAAAACTTTCATTTGATCAACATATCACCTAAGCAAATGGTTCATCTTACTACAGGCTTAGCAGGATTAGCAGCCACATATGGTTTGAACATGAATGTGCTTCAGGCTTGGGTGATATGGAATTTATGCAACGTTGAGAACAAAATGATATCTGTTGAAAGAATTCTTCAGTTTACGAACATCGCTTCGGAAGCACCACCGGTTATCGAAGATTGTAGGCCGCTGCCGGAATGGCCAACGGAGGGAAAGATAGAACTTGAGAACCTCCATGTCCAATACCGTCCTAATCTTCCATTGGTTCTCAAAGGGATCACTTGTACCTTCCCAAAAAGGAAGAAGATTGGAGTTGTTGGCAGGACAGGAAGTGGTAAGTCCACCTTAATTCAAGCACTTTTTAGAGTGGTTGAGCCTTCTGCTGGAAGGATTCTCATTGATGGAGTTGATATTTGCAAAATGGGTCTGCATGATCTGAGGTCTAAGTTGGGTATCATTCCACAAGACCCAACATTGTTCCAAGGAACCATGAGAACTAATCTAGACCCTTTGCAACAACATAGTGACCAAGAAATATGGGAGGTGAGATTGGAAATGCTTTGTCTCGTGTACGATGAAACGTTGACACGGTCTTAACTTAACACTAACTTAATATTTCAGGTCCTTCACAAGTGTCGGTTCGCCGAGATCATCCAAACAGACCGAACAGTTCTTGAAGCGCCAGGTACATTGAGGTCTCCCATTGTTTTGGAAGTGTTCTTGTTCAGTTTAGTTTATTTTCTACTCAAATGTAATGCTGCTGCAGTTGCTGAAGATGGAGAGAATTGGAGTGTTGGACAGAGGCAACTTGTTTGCTTGGCTAGGGTGCTTCTCAAGAAGCGTAGGATTCTTGTGTTGGATGAGGCAACAGCCTCCATTGATACTGCAACAGAAAACAGAATTCAGGAAACGATAAGAGAGGAGACGAATGGATGCACGGTCATTACCGTGGCTCATCGAATCCCGACAGTCATCGACAATGATTTGGTTTTGGTTCTTGATGAAGGCAAGCTAACTCCTTACATTTGAGTATATTATAAAAACTAAAGCTACTAGTATCATTCTAAGGCATGAGTTTCATTGTTATAGGCAAGGTGATCGAGTACGATTCACCGTCTCGATTACTCGAGAACAGTTCTTCTATGTTTTCGAAGTTGGTGGCAGAATTCTTGAGGAGATCATCCAACAGTCGCTCATAGTCGATGGGGACTTTCGCCAACCGAACCTGAAGTTCATGACTGATTGACTTGCACACTGCTACTAACTGCATAGGCTGGAGATTTGTAAAGTAAGAAACTTGATACTCATCCTCTGAAGCAATAGCAGATCCAAGCAAATAGATTGACAAGCTTTCTACCATTAGTTGATAAGATAGATACAGAGCCTTAGGTATTAACCATAGTCTTCCCCTCTTATTGTTGTTTTGATGTAATTGAAAGCATGTTTCATTTCATCATAATAAAATTTTTATGCCACAGAGCAGTTGATGATATTCCTTGATCATCCCATTCTTCTGGGTCGTGTGAGACTAGAATACCGGTTGAACATGCTTCGAATGGGTAAGGCAGTTAAAATATCATCATTAGTCCAATAGGGTTAAACCCAATAATTGTACAAGGCCATTGTCTATATATTTTAAGAAAATGACCTAAGTTCCGCTTATTTAGGATTCACTGAAATCAACGGATTTCCCTTGCCTCCTGGATCCATTGGGTGAGTGGAAGACATTGAGAAGGGCTTCACGATGTTTGTTACTATATGTTAGAGTAACGAATCATTGGTTTAACTGAATAACTAAATAAAATAGATAGACATTTTTCCTTGTCTTAGGTTGATGGATCTTCTCCATTGAAAAATCCCCTCTATAGATTATACACATTTTAGTTCAACGAGACAAATTCCAATTGAAAGAGGACATTGGGCGAGTGTCCTAGAATCTCTCATCAATAGAAGTTAGACCATCTAGGGACTTACACCAGTCTGATTTAGGTATTTTAGAAATAGATATCTAATTATTTTAAGAAAAATATTTATATAATTTAAGAATAAAGATATCTAATTATTTTAGAATAAACATTTATATATTTTAAGAATAAATGATTAAATATTTTAAGTATAAAATTTACTAATTATTTTAAGAAAAACATTTATCTCATTATTTAAAAAAAAAACATTTATATATTCTAAGAATAAATGATTAACTATTTTAAGAGATACAGATATTTTAGAAATAAAGATATTTAATCATTTTATAAAAATATTTATATATTTTAGAAATAAATGATTAAATATTTTAGGAATTAATTGTCTAGTCTATCGTACAATCCACCCTACCAAAGTTTTGGTTCGAAGAAATGCCAAATAGTATAAGTAAAGCAAAGTGTAGTACCAATAATTCTCAAGTAGTCTGAAGTAAAGCAAAGTATAATAGTATTTTATAGAATGTTTTGTAATCTCTTCTCGATTGATCAAAGTTATGCGAATGTTGCAGTCGCATAAGCCGAATCAACATTCTGAAAACTATATATATATATATATAGTTTGTTCTACTGTATTTTCGAGGTGGATCGTAAAAAAAATAGATGTAGACAATAATGCACTCAAGGTATTGTCGTAATATAAAATATGATAGAAAAATAAACCATAAAATTATTAATTTAAAAAACGTAAAATAAAATATGGCACAATATTACGTGTTGCACGCTATTCCAAAAGTCGATGATTTAATCTTCACTTAGCAATTGTTAAACTAAAAACACTCGTCACCAAAACATGACATCTAACACATTAGCATATAGTTCCATCCGCATAATGCAGATATTACAACTTAAAGCATTAGATTAGACAATAGATAACCAAATTACTTTCTAATCTTATACGAACCGTTTCCACCAATGAAAAGAGTTAGGCATCTCGACCTATCACGTGACACGTACGTTTTTCGAATCCAACCCATAATTAAAAAACATAACACGTCAAAGCTTTTTCGGTCTAAATAATGTTTTTTTCTTATTTAAACCAAAGTTTGCTAGTAATTAAAATGAAGGAATCAAAACATCCATCATAACAAATCATTCACTCCCATAACCACTTTCCTCATCGACGGTTGAATTTGTTCATAAAAACATGGAAATAATTCATTTATTTTGGTAAAACCAAACCAAATTTAATTAATTACCATAAAGGGCAGCAATGGAGGGATGAATAGAAGCAAAGAATTAGGTGGCAAAGAGGGGTAGAAAGGTAAAATTGTAGTGTGGACATGGATATGCTGACACAGACCACCTCAGAACTCGGAGATTCCTAGATTCAAACGAGGAACAGGCAAGACAAGGTGAAAAAGTAAAAATTGGACAAAACATGAATGTTTATAAGCCATACAATTAATAACCCACTAATTATAGATTGTGTGTTAAGATCCTTTAAATATGGGAGCTGCTAGTGTGGAACAATAAGCTCATCCTGGTTCGATCTATCGAGTCTCTTAATTGGTGTGTCGTAAAATCAAGCACAAAAATGGCTCATGATCAAGATCCGTCACCCAACGCTGGCGTTGCCAATCAGAAAGCCATCGACGACTGGCTTCCGATCACTTCTTCTAGGAATGCCAAATGGTGGTATGCTGCTTTTCATAATGTCACTGCCATGGTCGGCGCCGGCGTCCTCAGCCTCCCTTATGCCATGTCTGAACTCGGATGGTACTCTCTCTTTCTCTCTCTCTAGATATCATGATAAAGATTCTCTTTTTTTCGATTTGCCACGTGTTTTAGACATATACACATCGACCCACTTCATATTTTCGATTGTATGTACTCCTGACATAAAAAGGTTTAGTATCGTTGGATATCGTTGACCCTACTGATATATAGTGAATCCTCTACTTATCTAATGACGGTGAGATTTTGGCTACATTTTTTACGATTCTTTTGACATTTTCTAAATGTTTCAAAAACGACACTTGAAATTAATATTTTGGATGGAAGCTGACTTAGAATGATGTAGTGGTGGGCTAAACCTTCGATACTAACTCTAGAATTGCACAAAGAGAAAGACGTCTAATCCAAACATTTTCTCCTGCCTATTCTACAACAAGAGCATTTGATGCTTCCTGTACTACTCGAAGGGTCAGTCTCGAGGCGGAACTTCCCTCACCCTCTACATTTTGCTGAGTTGTATGTGTTGCAGCCTAGTTATGTAGGGAAGATGATGTCTCCTCTGGATTGCCATAATAAGTGACGATCCAAATCTATGTTATAAGTCACTATCTCATCTGGGTTGTCATAGTAAGTGACGATCCAAATCTATGTTATAAGTCATTATCTCATCTGGGTTGTCATAACGATCCAAATCTATGTTTTAGGCAACTGAAACCTCCCCTCGTGCCTATTCTGTAACAAGAGCATTCGATGCTTCCTGTACTGCTCGAAGGGTCAGTCTGGAGGTGGAACTACTCTCACCCTCTACAGTTCCCCTCTACATTTTGCTAAACTACATCTGGGTTGCCATAATAAGTGGCCATAATAAGTGACGATCCAAATCTATGTTAAAAGGGTTTCTAATATAATTGTAATTTTGAGTAATATTTGCAGTTGGGGATTAAATTTTTTGAATTTTTTTAAATTAAAATGATGGTAATTGGCAGGGGACCTGGTTCGGTGATAATGATTCTGTCATGGATCATTACGCTGTACACGCTATGGCAAATGGTGGAGATGCACGAGATGGTGCCTGGGAAGAGGTTCGACAGGTACCACGAGCTAGGCCAGCACGCCTTCGGCGAGAAGCTTGGCCTATGGATCGTGGTTCCTCAGCAGCTGACCGTGGAAGTCGGCGTCAATATCGTGTACATGGTCACCGGCGGCAAGTCCTTAAAGAAGTTCCACGAGACAGTCTGCCCCAACTGCTCCCACATCAAAACCTCTTACTTCATAGTCATATTCGCCTCCATCCATTTCGTCCTCTCCCACCTCCCCAATTTCAACTCCATCTCCGGCGTCTCTCTCGCCGCCGCCGTCATGTCTCTCAGCTACTCCACGGTGGCGTGGGTTGCTTCCTTGGAGAAAGGAGTGCAGCCGGACGTAGACTACAGCTATAGAGCCAAGACCAAATCGGACGGCGTTTTCCACTTCTTGAGTGGATTGGGTGAAGTGGCGTTTGCGTTTGCTGGCCACAACGTTGTTTTGGAGATCCAAGCCACCATTCCCTCCACGCCGGAGAAGCCCTCCAAAGGCCCCATGTGGAAAGGTGTCGTTTTGGCTTACATCGTTGTCGCTTTATGCTATTTCCCTGTCGCCATGATTGGCTATTGGGTATTCGGCAACGCTGTCGAAGACAACATCCTTATTTCCCTCGAAAAACCTGCCTGGCTCATTGCCATTGCCAACATGTTCGTCGTCATCCACGTCATCGGCAGCTATCAGGTACTCGTAATTCTGTTTAAATTATTATTCAATAAGACTGTCACAGTATAATCATTTTTTTTTTAATTTATAGATTTATGCTATGCCCGTATTTGACATGATGGAGACATTGTTGGTGAAACGATGGAACTTTACTCCTTGTTTCCGACTCCGATTCATCACTCGTTCTTTATACGTGGGTGGGTTAAATCCTCTCATTACAATTTTCATCTCTTGAATATATGCATTATGAGTGTTCGTGAATTCTGTTATAACATTTTTCAAATTATAAAAATCCGGCTCCATAATCCAATAGGGTTGATTCGAGTTGTTCAGATAATTTATTTAAAATTTTATTTTTAATAGAAGTTAAAACATTTATTCGTTCAACTCAATGTTTGCAGCTTTTACAATGTTCGTGGGAATAGCGGTGCCTTTCTTCGGTGGCTTGCTCGGGTTCTTCGGAGGCCTAGCGTTCGCGCCCACAACTTACTTCGTAACGAAAAACCATCATAAACTAATCTAAATTATGACACCATCATATTCACAAAACTAACACCTGATGATATGACCTATTCTTTACGTGCAGCTCCCATGCACCATGTGGCTAGCGATTTACAAGCCCAAAAGATTCGGCCTATCATGGACCACAAATTGGGTAACTTTCCAGCAAACCCAATTCGCCATATGATCATTTGTTGAACCATTCTGTGACTGAAACTGGTGTGAATTGCTTCAGGTTTGCATTGTGTTTGGCGTTCTGCTGATGGTCCTGTCGCCCATCGGCGGCCTGAGAACGCTCATCCTTTCAGCCAAGAACTACCAGTTCTTCTCATGAACATGATCACAGCAAGAAGTTGCAGTGTTCTCTGCAGCCAATTGTTATAGCACAGAAGCAGGATTTGGCAGGCAGATTAAAATAATTGGCTATGTTCTCTAGCCCAACCAGTTTGTACTTCAATAGGAGCGGAGGCTAGAATAATCCCCAAAGACAGATGGAATTGTGTGTTTCTACCTGCAATCGAATGCCTTCTTATTTCATTAGCTTAGAAATACTAATATGGTTATCTTATGCTTGTTGCTTTCATTTCTAATACTATTATATCAAATATTTCTACGTTACTTTGTTGTTCGAGCAGATATTGTCTGCTTCAGCCTGTTATATATCGCTCTAAGTCTCACGATTTTAACATGTGTTAGCTAGGGAGAGGTTTCCACACCCTTATAAGTGATGCTTTTGTTCGAGCAGATATTGTCTGTTTCAGTCCGTTATATATCGCTGTAAGTCTCACGATTTTAAGATGTGTTAGCTAGCAGTGATGCTTCATTTCCCTCTCTAATTGATGTGGGATCTCACAATCTAACCCCTTTGGGGACTAGCAAGCTTCGTTCCTTTCTTCAACGTCTTTCCTAGTACATTGCTCTGGCTATGATATCATTTTTAATAGCACAAGACGTCTTTCCTAGCACATTGCTCAATGTCTGGCTATGATATCATTTGTAATAGCACAAGACATCTTTCCTAGCACATTGCTTAGTGTCTGACTATGATATCATTTGTAATAGCACAAATTCACTACTAGCAAATATTGCTGTTTTGGCTCATTATGTAACACCGCTAGTCTCATTATTTTAAAATGTGTTTGTTAAGGAGAGATTTTCATTCCTTGTAAAGAATGTTTTGTTCCCCTCTCCAACCGACATGGGATCTCACAATCCACCCGTAATTGCATAAAGTTGATAATATTTGCTAGCAGTGGGCTTGAACTGTTATAGATAGGAAACAGGTTACCTACTTTTAATGGTTAAAGAAAATCATAAGTAGGATTTAAACCTACGACCAATCGGTTAACAGCTATCGATCGTTCTACCCTTGAGCTTAGCTATTAGTGAACAACGGTAAATTAGGTCTACAAAATTCAATGCTCGTTCTCGTCCCATGACTAATATAAACCTGCTATTTTTATTATCTCTTGAAACTTTTTTGTAGTGGCTCTGTTTCGTGATACAGGAGAGAAGAAGAAACTTTAAGCATATGGCTTCTCAATTAAAAAGTATGATATTAAAGAAAATATTATATCATAATATTGATAAACTAAAATAAAAACAAAATATTCGATAATAATTTTTCGATTTTCTCGTGCAATTTTTTAATAGACGATTACAAATTTTTTTAATGAAATAATCCGGTCGGTTTATATTTTTGAATAAAACCGAACCGACGTATATCCTTCCTATATGAATTGGTGAGGTTGTCGTTTGATGAAGAGGAAGAGATTCAAACGAGTAACCCTAAGAATTGGCAGTGTCATGGAAGACGAGATCGGAGAAGAGTTCGAGAGGAGTGGTTTCACGTTTGACGAAGAGGAAGAGATTCTCAAGAAATGTAAGCTCTACTTCTCATTTTTGTTTGGTTTATGTTCATGATTGGGTAGCATTGACGCGCGATTCCTCCCTTTTCTGTATTCGATCTTTCGTTGTGTGTTCATTACAATCTAAAGCCTTCAGAAATAGATTCTCAAGAGATGACTGTTTATACTAAATTGATGAGGGAGATCCATCAGTTCTTTAATGATTAAATTATTAAAGATCGCCTTATTCTGCAGCCTGCTTTTGACATTACATCTGATCTTAGACTTCTGGTAACTTATTCTTAGGATTTGAGTTACTTCCAGATCTGGAGCTCGATTATGTTGAGTAATGCTTGCTGTTGAACTATGTTTGTTTTGGTTCAGATATTCAGTCTCCCAACCCAGGCTTTTTGGAAGCAAATCAGGTAAAACATGGATACAACTTTGCATTTCCAAACAAGTTTTTTATGAATATTTTATTTTCATCCAGATTTTCTATGTTGGACGTCTGAAGTTTGCTATCACTGTTTATCAATTAATAGCTGATTGTTTTGATACTATGAAAAGAAAGAAAGAAAGGGAAAAATGAGCGCTGGATGTTCCATTGTAAAAAAAAGACATCAACATATAACGAAGCGAAACCACTACGATCATCCTGGCCTTTAGTTTGTACGTGATGTGTGTTTATTCTGGAGTAGGAATAACAATAACCGTCCATCGGTATTCTATTGCTTACAAGTGAAGAATTACATTTGGTTTAGGGTATCGTGCACCTACACTTGCTTAGTTTATACCATGAGATAATTTTTTAGTTCTTAATTCTTATCAGAAAAACAAAAGGGGGAAAAGGACTTTTGAACATTCGTTGTTCTTGAGCTTCTCTTTGGATATCTGACAGGAGAAAAAGAAACCAGTGCACAATGGGGGACTCCCTGGGGGATGATCCTTTTGATTTGCTACCTGAGTTCCCTTCTGCACTTGATTTTATTTTTATTCTTTTGTTATTTTAATTTGAGGGAGAAGGGATTGGAAAGAAAGATTGATCGGAAATGTAAGAGAGTTCTAAATTCTGAACAAAAAAGCCATTCCTCCTACCCACATAATATAATTCTAAAAAACTCAGGAAATAAACCATGCAATGGTTTTCTGTGATGTAACGCCCCTACACCAGAGTAGTGAAGATAATCAAATATTGACAGTCTTCATTTTTTAAAACCCAGACTACCTAGTTTTCTTCGTTATTGCAATGCAATGACACGATGGTTGTAAATTTTCAAAGCATACAGAACTGATGTCTGATGCATACTAATACAGAACGAATTCTGATATTTCCATCGATAATGGATTTCAGGCAAAGATAACCTGCTGCACCATGGATAGGATATTCTCAGACAAAGGGCGGGACCACGGTAATCCTAGTAAGTTGAATCTAAGAACCCTCATGATATGCAAATCCTTAGTTCATAAACAAATCAATTTGATTTTTTTTTGTTTAGATGATTGCAATTCTTGGAAATTTGATCTAAGAACCTTGTTGAAGAATAAGAATTTTAAATCTAAATATATCCAAGAACCTCAAGGGGAAATAAGATTCGGGTTATCTCGTTGATCGAATACCTCAAGGCAAGATCACTTGTTTGAGATTCAAATCACTCCACAAATAAGATCGACCATGCTAAGCTTAAATGATTCTAAACATTCAACCTAAACTACATAGAATTGCAAAGAAACTTAGTACTTGACTAAAAGAAAGCACAAAAGCACAAATGCATTTACTACATTTTTGAAGTCTACTTTACAAAGATAATATACCTGGCTTTGTATAGCCACAAAATGAAAGCCTTTAACCTTCCATGAGACATTTCAAGAGTGATAACTTTCACCCAATGTTCACATTCTTCCATCCAACATGAAACGCTTGGGGAAAGTAAGGGATTGTCCACATCATTTCATTGTTGTACATCAATTATTTATTGTCAAAACTTCGTCTGTGATGAAAGCAAAGTGTGACAATTTTGATACATGTTATAGTAGACCAGCGACTAGAGCTCAATCTCATATTTTGCCTTCAAGCAGATAAAACGTACATGTTTGTATGAGCTTCAATGACCTTTCACTTCGTCAGGTTATATCCCTCAATGAAGGAGGTTCAGAGGAAGAGCAAGTGAGCTGCGTATGTGTGAATCCCGAAACATTAGCCAAGGATGAAGGAGTACTTTTGTAAAGCTATTCGGCACGCCTGACCAGATAAATTCTTCAGTTGTCAGCATATGAATAGTGGACTTGCTGTCTAGCCCTCTCTGTTTGACTCATACGATGGACCTGCCAAATCTTGTTCAGTTTCAGTTTCAACACGACCCTTAAGTTACAGGTAACAGAATTGGTTGTAGTTTAATTCATTAAATTATCAAATAGATATGAGATTTTCAATAGAATACTATAGTGTATATTATTGTCCTTGTGAAAGAGGAGAGCAGGGCGGTTATGCCCTCAAACATGAAAAGTAAACCCATTTGTAGCATACCTTGGGAAAGAATTCATTGTTTAGTTTAGCATTGCTCAATTGGTCAGTGTATTAGTCACTAGTAGCTTTTCAAAAATAGTAAGTTTGAATCTTTCACTACTCATGTTGGAATTGTTATACTAAGAAACTGAAGAAAAAAAAAGGAACTAATTTGATCGTGAGATATGCATATTAGTAGAAATTTTAAAAATTAAACAATAGCATAAACAATTCAACCACCTGTTGTCATCCTTATCCCTAAGCCTAAGCTAAATAAGAATTAGTCTAAAATATGTTCACACTGCTTTCCCATGCTTTGTACGTCGAAACCAGAGAACCCAATGATTTCCGACCCACAGTATGCTAACAAAAATGGCAGTTCCAATAACACCCATCCATGAAATCCAAGCCCACTTAGGAATCAAATTTTCTGCTGCACTGCTGACATAAAATTCTCCCATCTTATGCAGAAAGACAGGCGCGAAGCCCCCTCTGAGAATGCTGTAAAAGGTGAAGAAATATGGAGACACGAAGTCCTGAAACTTAGCGGCGGCCGGCACATCAGCCCTTCTGTAACCCGCTAGGGTCCAAACATTCTGGCACCCACTGCTGAACTCCGCAAGCACCAAAAGCACCAGAATGGGCAGAGCACCACGACTAACCAAGTAATGGCATGTAGCGAACACGTAAAGCACTGCCAGATGATGACATATAAAGACGAAATCTCGTGGATAAAACAGTATGAAGTGAAGAAGATCCATCAAGAAATAAGCCATGCTGTACTCGAGGACAAGGCCCTGGTATTTGGTATTGAGAGCGGCGAAATCAGCCATGTTTGGAGCTTGGAGAATTGCAATGATGGCCATGATGACGACGGGACAGCCATGGGCGAGTGATATGAAGCAGCTCGAGGCCTCTAGCCTGTGCTTGGGCCCCCAATTCTGGAGCACAACCAAGTAAGCAAATACATATACAAATAGAAACATGAAGAAGAAGAAGAACAACAAGGCCAATGATGATGGGCTCTCGGGCATTTGAAACTCCATCGAGATCGATATTCAAACTGCAAAAAGCTCTGCCAATGACTGAGGAGAAACAAAAAACAAAGTGGGTATAAATTCTGATGGGTGGAGAAGTTATGCTTTTAAATGGAATATTCCAAGGCTTTCAAGTGGAAGGGAATTGGCCTCTACAAGTCGGGTCTTCCTTTTCTTCTTATACCACTTCTTCAAATTAAAGCAACCTCTCCATTGGCTTGGCTGTGCGGCGGGGCTGGCGGCGGGGCAGACTTAATAGCTGCAACCGATAACCAAATCCTGTGTGGATTAGGCCTTATTATCAAGTCCTATGTGGATTAGGCTTTTTAAGTTTCGTGCACGATTAATTATCTTAATTAAGTATGTGTGTTATTTATTCGAATTTCAAATTTGTGTTTAATTGGTGGAAATTAGATAGACATTAAAATTTTGACTCAGTCTTTGGATGCCTAGGATCACACCCATTAAGGAAATAAAAATAATCTTAAATTTTTCTAAATTTTTAATTTTTTTTTCATTCCAATCAAATATTTTGCTTTTAGAACATTATATTATGATTTGTGTAATTTTTGTTATTTGGTCTCTCAAGTTTTAAAACAAGTTCTTGTTCACAACTTTAATTTAGTAGAATGTTGATTTGGTCGTTATATTGATATAGAAGAGACACAATATTAATGTATTCGGTTACTTGTCTAGTGGTTTAATTAATATTTTGTTAGGTTATTTTGTTAGGTTAAAGTTAAGTTAGGGATCCTTTAGAAAAATATAGGGATTAAAATACTCATTTTAAAATTTTAGGGACTAAAATTAAATATATTTTAATTATTGAATTTTTTTTGTTCGGTCTTTAATATTTTTTTATTTCACTAAGTATTTTAGAATTATTATTATTATTTTTAATTCGGAGAGAATTTAAGCCTCTAATTTCCTTAATGCTGGTGAAAAATATTTTTAAATGTCGATATAACTTAATAATAAGATTAAATTTGGATTAAAATTTCTATTAGCTTTGAGACTCAATAAATATTTAAATATTTAATTTTGTATCTGTTGGTAAATTTGAAAATTAAAAAAAATTAAAATAATAATAATAATATTAACTTTGTGACAAAAAGAGCATATTCGAGGGAACGGCATATTCAATATTTGGGTTTGGAGAGAGATTGGAGATCCAATTGGAACGGGTAAGAGAGAGAAGGAGCGGAAAAGCGTTGGTCGAATAAGAACATAGAAAAAGAACCCACCAAATTGAAGCTGCCCTATTTCCAACTAACCATTTCTCTCTGTAATTACAACAAAATCCGAAGAACAATCCCATTCTTTCTGTAATAGCAACAAGAATTTTGAGTTTACCCACCAGAATTGAGAACAATTTCGTCTGCGAAGCCGATTGAATCGAGGAATGGGTCATGTGACGGCTTCATCAGGTTCGTCGATCAACGGGCCTCCTTCCAGGGCGCCTTCCTCCCTTTCATCTACGGCTTTGACGAATTTCCCTCTCATTTCTGCTCTCATTTCCTTCGCGGTTGCCCAGTTCATCAAGCTCTTCACCTCCTGGTATTTTCTCATTTCCTTCGGATCCGATTCAATTCTTAGGTTTTAACTGCATATGAATATCGTACGAGCGTTCTTGTTTGTTAGTGATAGCCGATGTTCCCATGAAATCTGGATTCTGTTTTTCTTCCTCAAGACTTGATCACGGCATTGAAGAACCAATCAATTTCTTGTTACATTTCAGGTATAAGGAACGACGATGGGATTTTAAGAGACTAGTTGGATCGGGGGGAATGCCTTCATCTCATTCTTCCACTGTTTCTGCTCTTGCCGTAGCCATTGGCCTCCAAGAAGGCTTTGGAGCATCAGTCTTTGCTGTTTCATTGATCTTAGCATGTATTGTATGGTCTCCTTATTCATTTTATGCCTACCATTCTGATTTAAGTTGTTGTAAATTTCCTGGAACGATTCTAAGAAAGAAAAATGGTGGCAGGTAATGTACGATGCAACTGGTGTGAGATTACATGCTGGACGCCAAGCAGAGGTTATATGCTTCTTTGTTCTGAATAGAACATATTGTCCTCTTTTGGCTTTTATTTTCGGGCTTCTCCTCAATATTTTTAAAACAGCTAGCAACCCTCTCCAACCGATGTGAGATCTCACAATCCACCCCCTTTCGAGGCTCAGTGTCCTCGTTAACACTCGTTCTCCTCCGTGGGATCTCACAATCCACCCCCCTTTGAGGCTCAGTGTCCTTGTTGACACTCGTTCCCCTCTCCAATCGACGTGGGATCTCACAATCCACCCCTTTTCAAGACTCAGTGTCCTCTCTGACACTCGTTCCCCTCTCCAATTGACGTGGGATCTCACAATCCACCCCTCTTCGAGGCTCAGTGTCCTCGTTGACACTCGTTCCCCTCTCCAATTGACGTGGGATCTCACAATCCACCCCTCTTCGAGGCTCAGTGTCCTCATTGACACTCGTTCCCCTCTCCAATTAACGTGGGATCTCACAACCCACCCCTCTTCGAGGCTCAGTGTCCTCGTTGACACTCGTTCCCCTCGCCAATCGATGTGGGATCTCACAATCCACCCCCCTCGAGGCCCAGCATTCTTGTTGGCACTTGTTCCCCTCATACACCCATCTTCGGAGCCCAGCAAGGATGCTGGTACTTATTCCCCTCTCCAAGAAAAAGGCTCTTTCTCCTCTTCTTTTTCCTTTTCTACTCAATTGCTTTTATTTGGACATTACTGTTATATCTTAAAGCTTTATCCTTTCTATTGACTGTTTAATATACTCTAACTAGTTTTATTTTTTTAGGTTTTGAATCAAATAGTTTATGAACTTCCTGCTGAACATCCTTTGGCTGAGAGCAGACCATTGCGAGAACTTCTTGGCCACACCCCTCCCCAGGTTTCCATTAGGGTGACACTGTACAGTAATTGATTCTTGTCTATGAAAGTGACATGTTAATGAAATATCATTTTTATTTCACTGCAAATTCAGGCTTCCATGACCTTCATATGCATGTTGAAGACTATGAAATTAACATTGTGATAAAATGGGAGATTGTTAGTTTTTACTATCACTTTTGGTATATTGTGGAACTGGAAATGATGTGGACACATGGAGTGCCCTTTGAATAACTGATTTTTTGAATGCTTTCTCAATGTGTTGGCACCTTCTGGTTTCAAAGAGCAGCTAAAACAAGTAAAGGATATTCATTTGTAGCTTTTTTACGTTATCTACAAAAGAAGTCAGGATTCCAGTGAATTGCCTTAAAGTATAGTATGAGAATAGCTTATTCAGGATTCCCTTTCATTGAAGAAAGATTTGAGGCCATTCTTTCTAACGTGCGGCTACATTCTATTTGATTCCAACAGGTTGTAGCTGGAGGATTGCTTGGTATTGTCACCTCTTCAATTGGCCATTTGATGATCATAATGACTAAGCCCTGATCATTGTGCTGAAGTAGATCGAGCGGATAAACCAGGTGTTGCTCTGATCTCATCATTAATGAAGGCTGTTTGATGGAAACTTGAGTATGAAATTATTCTTGTGAATATGGTCTGCACATAACCTTTGATCAATGAGATATTTCAGAATCATTGTTTGATTGATTGATTGATTGCTGTATTTAGTGCAATAGGAAGGACCAATAAGCTGCAGCGACATCTGCAGTATATCAGAAAACAAACATATAGCTCTTAGCACTTAAGTTTTAGATAGCTCTAATACCATTTGCTTCAACTCAATTCTGGTTCATGTAGTCTTCCAACTTTGTGGTTACTACTCGACTAATTCTGGATGAAAAGGGAGAAGGCTATTTTCTACTGCAATGTTCAAGAAAAAAATTCATTTCTGTGGCTGTCATTAGCCTTCTCAATATCACTTCTCAGTTCCCACAATAACATAATGCATGATTATATTATTACTTTATTGATAGAAAATCCATCATTTAAGACTAGCTAATTTTCTCGACTCACTTGTCGAGTACAAGTCTTGTATAGTGCCCCCTTCTATTCGGCCTTTCTTCACCGTGTGAAAGGTCTTAGGGTCTTAAGATATATTACCATTCTAGGCAGGTCGCAATAAGTCGATGATATACTGATCTATCCTACTCCATTTAATTGAAATTTCAAGCTTTTTGGTCTATTAGTGCCATGTTAGAATTTTCTCCAAACAGAAAATTGTGGAAGCGATCGTTCACAATAGTATGTGTATTTAAGAATGATATTACGTCTACAAATCGTATAACTAATGATCTTTACGAAGAATAGAGTACATTTCATTTTGCAACGATTCCTAAGTTCCCAATAAACTACGGTAATGGTAAAAGGTATTGCACTTTCTATGAGAGACCTCAAGTAAAAGCCCCCAAAGAATAGAAAATAATAATCAAACATCTGACTTCAAAAGAGTAGTAAAGACACGTGTCAGTTCTATGCTCAGATCCTCAAAGATACCTGAATTAACTCTCCAAGCAATATGCTCCATGCTCCATCCAACCGAACTAGGATCTCTCCTTTGTTGGTCATCTGACAGAAGTCCACCATGATGGTGATATTGATAATTGCTGAGTTTCTGGTGATGTTGATAATTGCTGAGTTTCTTGAACATCAATGAAGTTCTTCATTGCTGCTTGACTCAATACTGATGATATCAGCAGACCATAAAATGCATACCATAACAGAAGTTTTGAATTCCTTCACTACCTTAAGAGTAGCATGCAGGAAATCTTCATAAGAAAACGACACAATTGGTCAATTCTGATACAGTAGGGAGTATGAGGGAATGGGACCCGTATTCATGTTAGGCAGCCTTCATCCTGAAATGCCACAACAAAAAATACTTGATATCACTTGTTGCACTCTAATGCCATAATCTAAATGTTGTAATACCACTTGTACCCAAATGCCACAACTAAAATGTTCTGATACTCAATTGTTGTAGTGGAAGCAAGATTGATTGCACACACACCCACAAATAAACACTAAACAAAGTGATACAAATTACGTGATTGGAGAGAAGAAATTCTCCTCCATCCACGTGCGGTAGCCAATCTCTCACACTACAAAGTCTCTTTTACAAAATTTATCCCAATTATTTTTAGACAAATATAAAATGACAATAACTCCACGCCTTAAAACAAATAAATGAAAGTATGAGATAAAATGGGAGTTAATAACCAAAACAAATAAACAAAATAGTCGCGTCGGACCGATGCAATGCATATTTGGGCTTTCAGTTTCCGAACAAAGCCCATTACCTATATGGTCCATTTCTGGTCCGGCCCAATTACATTAAGCTCAGAAACGTGACAATAATACGACGTGGCATCATTTGATTCGCTCTTATTCCCGTAAAAGATCTAGTTAAATCGTAATTTAATAAATTCTTAATCCAGAAAATTACAAAAAGAAATGTACGGCTCAGATCTCGTAAGTTTGGCCCATCACGGCCATGTGAAAGGGTCAGAACTCCCCCCACCACCTCATTAAACTTCAATTATCAAATTTCACTCTTCTGAACAACTGACACGTTCTCAATCTCCACCGTCCACGTGTCAACCATATTTCCATCTTCTACTAGTAACCGTTAGGACAACCGTATATAAAAATTCCATTGATTTCCACAAAAATATTCTACTAATTTTCTTTTTTTTTTTACCATATTTTCCATTGATCCATACAGTTTGTTTTTTTTTTTAATACCTTCAATGGGGATCTCAAAACATTATCTTCTTCAACTTCAACTCTGCAACTTCCCGAACTCCCATGGCGTTTGAGAAATCGCTTTCTCTCTATTTGCTTTCTTTAGCTATACAAGCTCACCTGACATTATTGCCATTTGAAGCTTTACTCCATTTTTGAAGCTTCAATTTTCAGTACCCATTCTGTATCTAATCCTCTGCTCCTTTTGCTCTGTTTCTTCACTATGGGGAAAGAAAATGGATCTCAAATTAGGGTTTAGATCTAAGCAGAAGATCGGAACCTGTGCAGATTTTGCAGACGTTTTCTAGATTAGAAGCGCAGTTAGCTAAGAAAAGAGACCGATAATGAAGCCTGTTGAGGATAAAATCTGCTACAATCACGAGCCAATTCGGGAGTTCTCGGGCAGCGCAATAAGCTTCGAGTTTCAGAAAGGAAATGGAGGCAAACGAGCTTCACATCACCGTACAGCGTTAGGAAAACCAACGCCATCGAAATGGGACGACGCCCAAAAATGGCTTGTTGGATTATCAAAAGGGGGAGAAAAGAATCCAGTGAAAACCACGCCGAGAAACTCGAACGCAGACGATTTGAGGCTTATAGCTCCGGTGCCACAGAAGGAGCAGGACTATTCGAGCAACGATGAAGAAGAAGAACAACAGCAACGCGGATGCTCCGTTTCTGCAATGGCGAATCCATACGAAGAAGAAACAAAAAAGGTCGATTATGAGGATTCAATTTGGCGAATAAATAAACAGATTGCGAATCCAGCGCCGCCGGGCTTAAGGTCCATATGCGTGAGGGATATGGGAACAGAGATGACTCCGATTGCGAGCCAAGAACCTTCGAGAACAGCGACGCCGATTCGAGCCACGACACCGGCAGTGCGTAGCCCTATATCGTCCGGATCGTCAACTCCAGCGAGTTACGATCGAGTGAAGCAAGCTACTGAAATCTCTCAATCGAGGATTCAATCCAGTGATGGCAGAGAGGAATCGAACGCAAATCAAAGTCGAGAAGAATCGAATGCCGGAAAATTAGTTGAGCATAATCGGGATTCTGATGAAGCGAAGAAGATGAACTCGCTAGAAACTCGAGCAATGGCTTGGGACGAAGCGGAACGAGCCAAATACATGGCCAGGTAATCTTCCTCCACGATTCTCATCCGCCGAGAAATTTTCAATCAAATTAAACTAAAAATTTGGTCCTAGAATCTTACATATTATCTACACTCCCATCCATTCAAACATCCAACAATGGCAGATTTAAGCGCGAAGAAGTGAAGATACAAGCGTGGGAAAACCACGAGAAGCGAAAAGCAGAGACGGAGATGAGAAAAATGGAGGTAATTAAGCGCAAAAACTCCATAAATCGGTGATAGAAATAATGAATGAATTTGAATGTGGAAACAAAATTTACCGATGACAGGTGAAAGCGGAGAGAATGAAGAGTCGAGCGGAGGAGAAGCTGAGGAATAAGCTTGCGGCCACGAGAAGAATGGCGGAGGAGAAGCGAGCAAATGCAGAGGCCAAACTGAACGAAAAGGCCGTAAAGACTTCGGAGAAAGCTGATTATGTGAGGCGCACTGGTCATTTGCCTTCCTCCTTTTCCTTCAAGCTACCTTCTCTCTGTTGGTAGCAGCACTCACCATTGAGTAGTCGCCGGCTGCTGTATCTAGCTCTAGCCCTCGCCCTCGCCCCACCTAGCCCTGCTTATTAAAGCCGACCAAACCAAACTAATAAGAACCGAACCGAGCCAAACCGATTAGGGTACGTATTATTGGTTCGATAAAAAAAAATAAAACCGAATGGTTCGATTACATTGTTTGTTGGGCCCAAGATCGACCCAACAAAATTGGGGTCATATCCCTAGTTTATATAAATACGTGGGGTTAGGAAAAAAATGCATCTTATGAATGTTCTGATTAACCTAAGCATAATGCAAATAATTAAAACATTATATTCTTAATTGAAAGATTAGTGTTTAATGATCAATGTCTTAGTACAATTGGTAACGGTGGCGGTGGCGGTGGCGTTAAGGCATAAAATACTAGAAAAATAAAAGCTCGTTAGCCTATCATCCTTCAAAATTAGAATCCATCGACCTTTTGCCACTTTGAACTTCAAAAAGAACATAAAAGCCCTCCCTTTGTTTATCGATGTTCGCCCAAGACCTACCATTTGCTAAGCCCTTGCCATGTTTATCGACCTTGGAACCTAACAAATTAGCTACCACTCCAACTTTATCGCTATTGTAATTCATGTCGATAAGAGTGGATTTAGAGGTACTGAAAGTTAGGGGTAGCAGAAGTGTGTATAAATTGTGTTCGAAAATTTCTTTTTGATAAATCTAAAATTACGAATTAGTTGGGTTGATGAGCTCAATAACTCAAATAGAGTTCATCTTTATAATTTAGATTCGATAATTCAATTTAGTTGGATTATTGAGTCACACTTTAGACTCATAAATGTACGAGTCACGGCTTTTTTGTAAACAAGTTTCATCAACCTCGCACCTCCTCTCCTTGGTTGGATGTCGCTGAGCTTGCTTGGTTTGGGCGGGTTGCCCTTGGTTTTTGCTTGGACTTACCCTTATATCCGAAATTACTCCAAAAAAAACAGTCCGTCTATTATAAATATTTTATATTCACTCGTAAATTCCAATAAAAATGAAGGTAAATTGCCAAAATATATTTGTTTTTGAAAATTATTATTATTATAAACTAATTTTAAAAAAAATAATTTAAATGACTAAATTTAAGATATAGAATAATTAAAAATACATAAATTTAAAGAGTACAAAAAAAGATATTTTAATTTCGAGATATTAACTTTTTATTTATATTTATTTTTATCTGAAAATTATTATTATTATAAACTAATTTTAAAAAAATAATTTAAATGACTAAATTTAAGATAATAGAATAATTAAAAATACACGAATTTAAAGAGTAGAAAAAAAAATTAATTTGGATATATTAACTTTTTATTTTTATTTTTATTCGTGCATCATGTATTTTTAAAATTTAAATTTTAGTTTAAATTTAAAATATAGTCATAACCTAATTCAACCACTATGATTTGGGTTAGATTATGAATTTATGTAAGTTGAGTTCGATTCAAATAAATGAAAAAATTTATGAATTAAATGGGGTGAAGGGACTCTACAAGTAAATTGGAACCGGCCCAAATTTAATATTAATTGTAATATATATATTTACTCACTACACAATTTATATATTTATATTTATTTATTTATTTATTTATTACTTACTTTCCCTCGCCCTTTCAAAACAATTCTTAACTATTTATAAGTTAATTTTCTAAAATATTATAAATTTTAATTAAGCATTTGAAAATAATTTTAAAAATCTGATTTTTTATTTTGAAAAACAAAATTTCGCGGCTAAAATTTCATGAAATGAATTTACATTTGAAATCCGATTTCGTAGATCCATTAATAAATTAATAATATATAATAAATAAAGCCACCAAATGAACTGAACCAGACCGTCAATGTGGTTACGTGTATTGTGTACTCGGAATCACAACTTTCCCCATTTCTCCATCTGACTCCATGGTCGTTTCGTCTTCGATTGACTAGGGTTCTCTGCGCGTCCATCTAGGACTTCGCTCGCTTGCAGGATTTCTCTTCGATTGATTCCGCTGTTCATCCAATACGACTGTCCAGATTAGAGGTTGAGGCTAGGGTTCAATAGCCTCTAGGTCAATTTTTAGTTCGCGCAATCGATTTGAAGGGTATATTTCTCAACCTCGAATCGCTCTTCGACTTTTCGTTTATACTGCGAGATTCGTTGAAATTTTACGAGTCTTTTATGGGTTGTACTTCGTTTTTTGTTCACTTCGCGATTCTATTCGCGATCTGAATTTTTTTTGGATTTAGGGTTTCGAATCGTATTTTTTCTGGCCGGTTTCTGGATATTCTTATTGAAAAAATTGGGGATTTAGGGTTTTCTTTGGGAACCATCGGGGTGGGGTTTGGTATTTCGATGGCAGCGGGGAGAATGGGGGGTTATCGTGACTATGATGTGAAGGACCGGGATTCTAGTGTTGACGTTGTGAATGGGAAAGAAGGATATGAACGGGGGCGGAGCGGTAACCCTGAAAACAATAAGAGTCGAGGCCGGGATGTTAGAGACAGAATTAGGGTCAGGCAAAAGGACATCAGAGAGAGGGAAGTGGGTAATGGTAATCTACGATCTTCGAGTAGAAGTGACTCTGGCAGCAGCGGTGGTGGTATTGTTTCTCACGGAGTGAAGCAAAAGGTTTTGCTTGTCAGGACAATGGATAGGGAGCCGGGTGAGTTATCCAGTGAGAGTGGATCCGATGATGCCACTGAGTCCGGATTGCCATTTAAAATTAACGAGTCTGCAAAGGTGGTGGAGAATGGGATTCGTTCTCCACCAGAGAAGAAGAGGAAGTTCTCACCAATCGTTTGGGACAGAGACGAAAAGGAAGAGACTGTTTCCACAAGAAATAAGGTCGCCAAGGCTGTGACAGCTTCACCTCTGCCTTCACCGAAGGAGAAGAGGGAATCTCCTAACGCAATGTTGGATACTCTTGAAGCCATACCTGCTGAGGCTGGTAGGAGTAGTGATCCTGAGTACTTGCTACCTTCCTCTCTTGTTGAACCTTCTGTTGGGGGCCATGGATCAGATGAATTCCCCGCAAGTGGTTCACCAATGATGCCTTCTTCTGATTCACTTAGGAAACCATGGCAGGCTGATCTTGAAGCAGAAAATTTTGGGGATGATGATTATGTTCCAACAAGAAACATTTCATCCTCGAGATGGGCTGCTGGTAATAACTCTCCTGGAGATGAAGGTGAAATTTTAGATGCAGAAATGCCTAAAAGGCGGAAGACAACACCAATTTCTGAGTCATTGGAAGGCATCAGAGTACAAAGAAAGTCATTAACTCCAGAGATTGGGGAGATAATGAGACAAGGCTCTGAAGCAGGGACAAGATCATCTGAATCGACAGAACGTGGTGATCGGTCTCGATCATCAAGTGCGAATCATTACCTTGGTAATGATTCTGAGAAAGATGAGGGCACGGATCTTGGTGATGAAATTCGTAGAATGGATACTAGCAGTAGCCGGTTAGATACTGATTCTGAGGATGAGACAGAAGCTCCCGAGGAAGCAGAGCCTAGTGTCCCTCCTCCCCAACGAAGTGTAAATATGCTTCAAGGCTGTAGAAGTGTTGATGAATTTGAAAGATTGAACAAGATTGACGAAGGAACTTATGGTGTTGTATATAGAGCTAGAGACAAAAAGTCGGGGGAAATAGTTGCATTGAAGAAGGTGAAAATGGAAAAGGAACGAGAAGGTTTTCCCATGACTTCTTTGAGGGAAATAAACATTCTCCTGTCTTTTCATCACCCTTCAATTGTTGATGTAAAAGAAGTGGTGGTGGGCAGTAGTCTTGATAGCATTTTTATGGTAATGGAGTACATGGAGCATGACCTAAAAGCACTCATGGAGACAATAAAACAGCCATATAGTCAAAGTGAAGTAAAATGTCTGATGCTTCAGTTACTGGAGGGTGTTAAATACCTTCACGATAATTGGGTGCTTCATAGGGACTTAAAGACATCAAATTTACTTTTGAATAATCAGGGAGAACTGAAGATCTGCGATTTTGGATTAGCTCGGCAATATGGGAGCCCCTTGAAAACATATACACATATGGTTGTTACTCTTTGGTACAGGTTAGTTGCATTTTCTTGCATTCATGACTATTCTAACATCAGCTCTCCTATTCTCTTTTATACCATTGGAGGCATTAATATACCTGAGTATGTTAGAGATGTATGGCAGAAGGCTTGGGAAAATTTGCTGTCCGGTAAACAAAAGAATGTTTTATGTTTTATTTTTTTAACTTGTTCATGCATATTATCAGGGCACCTGAACTTCTATTGGGAACAAGACAGTATTCAACAGCTATTGACATGTGGTCGTTAGGCTGTATTATGGCTGAACTATTATCAAAGCAACCACTGTTTAATGGAAAAACTGAAGTTGATCAGCTTGACAAGGTAAAATTATATATTATATTACAGTGAATGCACATTCTCGATAGTTGCTATGCTTGCAAGCTTATGCCCTTTCCTTAAACCTCGCAGATATTTCGAACTCTAGGCACACCCAATGAAACAATTTGGCCTGGGTTTTCCAAACTTCCAGGAGTAAGGGTCAACTTTGTTAAGCACCAGTAAGTATTGTTGATGTTACTTAATCTGTGTTTATCTATCACATTTTTCTTATTTTTTTTCCACTGTTTTCCCAGGCTTCCAGCTTTGGGTGATTCTGGTCTGGCTATCTGGCCTCATTTGGGGACCTTCCAGTTACTTTTCTTTCATAGTACGTTTTAACCACGGACATGTTCCTTTCAGGTACAACTTATTGCGTAAGAAATTCCCGGCGACATCATTTACCGGTTCGCCAGTTCTTTCTGATTCAGGATTTGATTTGTTGAACAAACTTCTAACTTACGATCCTGAGAAGGTAATTATCTGATCAGCTGCTCGTGATTTCCTCATCAAATTTCGTTATTTACTAAGATTTGTTGTCTTAATGCAGAGAATTACAGCTGAGGCCGCTCTTAATCATGAATGGTTCTCAGAAGTTCCTCTTCCAAAGTCAAAAGAGTTCATGCCTACTTTTCCTGCTCAACATGCTCAGGACAGGTATGGCAACTGTTAAGACTTGTGAGTTTGTGGTTTAACTTCTTGTCAAACTTAATCTAAACAATAGACATGTTAATTTACATCTCTGTAGGCGTTTGCGGAGAGTAATGAAGAGTCCAGATCCCTTAGAAGAACAACGCAGAAAGGAGTTGCAGCAAGGGGAATTGGGCACATCTGGTTTGTTTGGCTAAGAGAATGGATCTGGTAATTTGGCTCAGGCTGCCTGAAGTTATTTTTCTGATCACTCGACCATTGGACCTGATTAAGGTTAGGGAAGAGGGCTGTGAATTGTGTTTGACAGATGATTGCCAGTGCTATTTTAGCAGGGCATTCACGGTTATTTGGTTCAAGATATGTATTTTTTTTTTTTTTTTTGCTTCTGTCAAGAAGATCAATTGCAGCTTTTCTCCTCTGGTCATCATATAGAAAATGCTTCATTGACACGGCTTGCATGGCAAGGTGTGGAACATTGTTGTTTTCTTGAAAAAAAGTCAGATTCAGCAGAAACTAATTTTGTAACATATTCCTATTGAAAATTAGGCTGTTGGCCATAAATTTTATTTGCAATATTAAATTTCCTTGGATTTTTACTGCCTACATAGTTCAAATTTATCTCCTTTTAATATTTGAATTGTGTTTGCAAGAGATGGTTGGTGGGAAGGGGAGGGCGGTCTTTGCTTCTCGTTGATGAAGAATTTGACAGTTACGATAGTTTTTCAAAGGTAATTAATTAATGCAAAGGCCTTACAAGGATGAGGATTATGTTTTGAAGCTTTCTTTATCAGTATCTTGTTGTGTGCATGTTTTGGGAAAATTCATCTCGTAGTGTTGGTCATTTCAACTACAGTGCTTAGGCTAAATTGTTCGATCAACCAAGTAGGCCTTTCTTTTTAAGCCTGGTTTATTTTGTTCTTCTCCCCCCATTGGTTTATTTTATCTGGGTTCTGTAGCTAGGACTGTTGATAGTTTTAGAAGAAATCCCTGAATGGCTCCCAACTTCTTTGTATGGAGATGTTCTTTCAAAATATAATTAGTGCTTAATTAGTGCTTGGTTATTGGTGATTTAAGTGACGATTTCCTCTGGGTATGTTAAAGTTCCAATTATTGGTGGTGCTAATGGAGGAAAATTTCAATGCTAAAAGAAAGCCATTGAAGATCATGTATCTATCTATCTGTGGCACCAAGCTACCCATCATCTTCCAGCCACCAAATTATTGATCTAAAGTTACCAATCGTTATAATTGAAATTCTTGACTAACAGATGTTTTTTCTGATGTGTTTCATCTGTTAGTGCAGGGACAGGAACATGCATTTTGGGGTAGGTTATATAATCTTTACTACTAGTCAAGAAATAGATGTTTGTTTATGATCTGCATGGGCGTTGCTGTTGCATACTGCCTCTTGATGTAATTATTTGGTTGTGGCCACATGGATACAACAAGCTTCAAGTTGTTTTTTGGGTGTTGACAGAATTAGTATGCATTAGCTTGTTGTTCAGAAGTATCACCACTCTTCAACTGAATGTAAAATGGATTGACTTTTGTCACTTATTACTCTCTTTTAATTAGTGTAGAAGATTCCATCTTTTGTCAGTCCCCGTGATTTTTCTGCAAATGTGACTGCAGTATCAAAGCTAGCAGGTTGAGGAGCTTCACCTGCATTGCTCTTGAAGTTATTAACTTAGTTGTTGATTCGCACACTTGAGGTACTAAATGCAAAGTTTGTTTTTGTTTGCATGTTTTTCAAGTTCCTAAGTATTTTCTCGACAGTTCTCTTCTTTGAAGTGCTGTTTGGAAGAGGTTATTTGGATCTGTAATACTGAAAAGTATGGTTAACCAGACTATTAAGCTGACTGTGCTGTTTGGAAAAGGTTATTTTGCCTTCTTTTAACCTAAGTTTGATGGTTTTCTTACAAGCATGCATGTTAACCGTTGGCTTAGAAGTGTTGAAATTTGCCATGGCTGTCTGCCTTAGTTAAGATCATTATATTGTCGGACGTTATGGGTGGAAAATTGGATTTAGACTTACCCCAACCAAACTTTTTGGCTTTACAGACCCGTCTCGGGTGTGGTAAAAAAAAAATTACCGACTGGTTATATAATGTTGCTGGGGAATGCAAATTGTTTGTTATGGTAAATTGATCATTGATCTGATGCTATAGATTAAGGCTTTATTAAAATGATTTGTAGCATATGTATTTGCTGCCTTGTTGGTGAATATTTTATTAGAATCTTCTCTATTGAATATTAGCTGCTGCTGCTGCTGCACGTAGAGTCTGTCTTATTTGTTTGTTTGATCAAATCTGACAAGTTACTATTGCTACAACTTCTGTATTCAGTATTTTCACTTTCCTTCTAAGTTCTAACACCAACACGAAGGCACCCGTGAATCCTTTCCGAAGGACCCAATCTACGATCCATATGTTTGGCGTAAAGAAAACGCTATCCCAATCTACAATGGAAAAGGTTTCCTATACAGATTATGGAATCTTATTCTATTCGCGTTGTTCTGTTTAGTAAATTTGATGAAATTCATTAATGACACACCAATTGCATATGCTATCTTATTTTCGTAAACATAATTGGTCGTCTCAATGAGCCACTGCCTTTTCTTTGAGAAACTAACTTGATATTGAGAGAATAAATTTAGAATTTGTCCTTCATGTTAAGCCTCTTTTTAAATCATATTCTATAGAGTATTATTATTATTATTATTATGGGCATCAGTATTATCATGTTCTTCTGTCCCTCTTCTGTAATAGTCCAAGCAACTCTAACCCGTGATTGTCAGTTTTCTTGTCCGATTCACTGTCACAACTCAAATTAAACACAACTTCATTGTGTTGTATAATCTTGGAAGACTGAATAAATTTTTTTTAAAAAAGTTGTCAAATTGAATTAGTGAATTGATCTTGAAATCAATGATTTTGGATGCATTTTGTGAGTTCATGTTATGATCTCCATTTGTCTTCATGGCTTGGCTTTGCAGCGAAGGATGGTGGGGTGAAATGACTCCTGTTAATAAGAGATTCCTTGTCTTACTAATTCACCTCACCTGAAAGTTTCAAAACAAGATAGAACATTTATTATCTTCTAACTAAGGAGATAAAGGTTTAATGGCGTGTAAATCCTCCTCTTATTATCATTATGTTACTCTCAATCTACAAATTTATAATGAACTAAATATCTCTGAATTCCAAGCACCATAGGGAAGCATATAGTTGGATAAACAAAACCCAGATCATAAATCTGAATACTCTTTTTAGATAGATATGCTGTTGGGGATTCCACGACCAGTCACCCCTGGACCAGATGTGGGGAGAAGTAGCTCATATGGAGGAACACCTGCACCACTTCTGTTTTTAAGACGGGCATCCTTGTTTCTACTGTTTATAATCTCTTCAATCTCCTCCAATCTTGATGAGAACTTGGTAAATAACCCCAACACCCTTTTGTCGTCGATCCAGTGGCTGTGTATTTGGTTCACTTGACCCAAGTACTCCTCATCTGGTGAATGAGTTGACAATGTGTCCTGAACTGCCATCACTTTTGTTGCTTGAAGTTTAGTTGGCAAAGAAGATAGGAAACTACGTTGGGGGTTGGCGATAAAATTCTCATAATCGGGATCACCCTCCTGTGGTATGAGCCTTCGCATTAGCGTCGGACGATTCGGCACATAACTTCCGAAAGGGTACTGCCCAAAGTTTATTGCAGCATGCTGTCCAGATGCCACCCAAATCATTGTTGTGAGTATGCCGGATAGGTCCTCTTTAGTACTGAGTTTAGGCCACCAAGGTTCATTTCGTTTCTCAGGATGGCCTTTGTTCTTAATCTCACTCCACCAAGCTTGGAGTTCAACATCGTTTGTGACGGAATTTGGCTCCGAGTAGAAGTGTTCAACATAGGATTCTACCCATTCTTTTATGGCTGACCATACAAGGAGACCATCTGCTGCATATGGGTAATCTTCAATTACAAGTCTCACACCATTTGGCATTGCAGGATCCTCCACAGCCATACCCCTAAAAGTTTTAAGCCGAGCTTAAATTATTCAGTGGCTTACAAAAGACAACAGGGAAATAACGAAGAGATACATGACAGCATCATGAATCTAGCCTATTGTCTTGTTGGGACTTGGGAAATGTGAAGATTAATAATGTATGTGTTTAACCTTTACCTTCTAATAAGATCAGCCGGTAATGCTTCCATGTCAAATCGCCACATGTTCTTGTATGCTGCAGAGCTTAGCTCCATGGAATACTTACCCCCAAGGAAACTGGCCTCAATAATTCCCCCACCATTTATAAGATTTTGACGAGCCAATGCATTAATTTCCAGTGTGTAGCGCATATGAGGATGAAGCAGCTTGTAAATAGGGTGCATGGAACTCAGTTGCCTATGAGTTGCAATTATATAAGGCTCCATGCTTGCGTGAGTCCTTAACCTGGATGATGCAGATCAAAAACTCATTAAAATACTGGTGAAGTTCGTAATCAGAACAAGTCGAAATATAAAACTCATACGTAGCTATGAACAAAAAGAATGCATAAAATACCAATGATTCACAAGTTGATGGATTCCGGCGTCAACAGAGCACACATGAGCTTTTGCTAGCTTCCAAATCCAATGGGTTGTAGCATCATGGCCATGAGTGTACACATGTTTATTGGTTTTTGAGTAAGGTGTTGGAGGCAGTGTGAGCTCAATTGCGATAGGCCTCAAGATACCAGTCTGGGAATAGAAGAACACTGTTCTAGAGGCATAGACTTTTCTCCCTGGCAATGCGTTGATCTTCTTGATAAATGGCAAAAGAATGTCATGATAATCAAGTACAAATAATCTCTTTTCTTCTATAGCCTGTATTAAAGAATAAGAGGAAAGTTACAATTATGTAAGGATAGCTGTTCATTGACTGCAACAAAATGCAGATAGCAATACCTGTTCTAAACTCATGCCATTGTAAAGCTCCTTCTCTATCAATTCTTTTGTAATGGCTGATTCTGGAGGCCCATAAACATTAGGGTCAAGTTTGCTGCGGATTGGAAATTCCTAAGATGTACACCTCATAATCAATAACAACTTAAAAGATTTGTTTTGTACAACAAAAAGCCTGAAAAATCCTCCATACCCTCAAACACTCGATGTTTACTGGGTTGACACCAGCCAGAGTCTGTCGTGCAAACTCGTTGTCCCTCAGCCAAGAAAATCTATCACCTGCAAGTTCAAAGCCACAAGAACATTGAAAGTTCTAATTGGATAGTATCAGTAATTTCAAGATTGTTGACAGTACATATAAGGGAAAACCGAGTGTACTTTTGATCACAGCTGGGATCTCATACTTCAACAATGTCTGACCAGCGTTAACAACTTGCTTCATAATATTGCTAAGAAACAACTTTTGAGAGTTCTCTTGGTGGTTTTCATCGTTCAAGACAACGCCATCGATATACAACTTATCAATTTCTGAAAAACACTTAAAGGATATGTCTGATTTTGACAATGTAGCTGCAATAGAAGGTACAAGATTGTGGACCAGAGCCTTCAATCTCCCAGCAGAGAATGTATTTTGCTTTATCTCCTCAAAAGTTTCATCCCGAGGAACATAAACTGGATGTGGCTTTTCAATTCGTTTCTCAGTAAGCGGATCTATTTGGAAGCCAATTCAAGAAAACACAAAATTTGGATTCTGCAGTTAGAGAATTATCCTAAACTCCATAAACTAAAAAAGTACCCAATCATACCTGAAGAACTTGGAGGCCGACCAGTTCTACAGCGGCGAGGATAAGGCCTATTTTCAACACCCAGAACAGGCCTAGCAAGATCTTTACTCTTATCAGGATTACCCAAATCGTTGTAAACATCATAGTCATAAATTCTATCGTATGGCTTCCTTTCACCTCGTCCATTGCCCCGAATGCTCGACAAGTCTTTGCTGCGAAGATCACGAAGGCCCGGCGGCGTTTGTGATGGCAAGTAGGCCTGTCGAATAGCAGTATGATTCAATTTGCGGCTCATGAATAGGGCAGTTCAAATTCAACAAAATCAAAAGTAGAAAGGAATTGATAATCGAAATAAAAACTTGGATTGTACGTGATTTTTGAAGATAATTCTACTATCCGAATTATCATTCCGTGAATGAATCCAGGTGTTCGCCGGAAAGTAAACGGGGTCAACATCAAGGCCATGAACTACAACTTCCATGAGATAGAACTCTTTCGCGTGAAGATTGGTGATAAGAACAGCCCCAAGACTGCCGAAGTCACGCGGCACTGTGAAATTAGCAGCGTAGTCCAAAACGTGAACACCGTTGACAGGTTTCGGCAACCATCCTTTCACAGAAGATTCTATGCTTCTTGCCGAATTGGTTTCTGCACAACAGCAAACCGAAAATTATGAGGAAACTCAGTCGATCATGTTCATAAATGAGAATTCAAATCAAAGAAAAATGTTGCGGAAAGATCGACCGGAAGACACAAAAATGGCACCATAAATTAGAGGAACAATCATGTCAAATGCTAATCGGAGCCAACAGAGATGAACAAATTTCAGCTATTGTTAACTAAAAAAAATTCTAACAAACAAAATTTTATTCGGTTTTTAACAATCAACCTACATTTTTTATTTTGATTCTCAAATGATTTAGAAAACAAAAATTAAATCTGAATAAAATATTGCCCTATAAAGTTTTGTTCATACCGATTTTTCTTGCTCTTACCTTTGCTTTATAAAAAGTTCCCATAAGAAGTTAATTTTGGCCCTTTTCATTGGCTTTTGTTTCCTGTAGAGTATTAAATCGAAATATTATATTGAAAATATCTGATTTTAAAAAATTAAATATGCAACAGAAAAGAACAAGATGCAAGTCAAGAAATTAAAAGACAAAAAGCAGAAAACAAAAATTCCAAACAATTTCAGAAATCAATTTCTTTCACGTATTATGGATCAAACTATTGGATCAAGAGGCCTCGATCGAATCTCGAATTCAAACGAGGATATATTTTTTGACACAATATTGTGGATCGAAGTATTAATAAAGTTTTAAATTCATTGTAGTAACCACACATTTATGAACAATAATAGCCATAACAGAATCCTTTCTAGATATAATAATAAATAAAAACTCATAAAACCAAGAGGAAAATCAAATAGAGAAAGATGAATAGTTGATTCATGACGAACACAAACCAGGATCGATTTCTTCACTAATTAGACGAATCAATATTCCTTGGCCAATCCCATTGATAAAATACTCCCACTGATCATCGATCTTCTCTGTCAACTTCTCCTTCATCTTCTTCCTGATCTTTATCATCGCCCTGACTTCGATTCCTCCAGAAAGAGAAGAAGAAATCTTAGACTCATTGCCATCTCTTTTCTTCGATGGAGAAGCAGCTTCCACAGTTTTCTTCAGGCTGCTTATCACCGGTCCAACCGATCCATTCCCGCCGAACAAAGATCTACATCGTGAATCCCTAGCTTTCCGGACACAGAACTTGCTCCTTGCGCCGGAGACCGCGAAAAATCCCCGTCTGGAAGACACTAAGTCTTTCTGTAAGTATAAATGATTGCTCGGCGAAACTGTAAACATTTGAATTGTATGTGGAGATACGGCGACGGAGACACGACGGAGAAGGCGACGGCGAACTCGACTGGCGAAGAAAATGGAGAATAAAGATGGGGTACTGAAGCGATCAGTGCAATACTGAAGAGAAATGCATTATTGTTGACTGCCTAGTTCGTAATTCGTGAGCTCTGCTATACCTGTCCCCGAATAAGCGCGTGAAGTCACGCTGAATAATTGGGCGAATTGAACCAATAGAACGCGGCTTTTCAGCGCGTGTTTTCACGTTCGAGAGCTGGAAGTGAAGTTAGTTTGGTCCTTTAAATTATAAAAAATAAAAAAATAAAATAAAAAACGATAGTACCGAGCGTGCGAACCAAGCGTGCGAAAAAATATATTTTGAAGTCAACATTTTTTCAATATTTTATTCTTAATTGTAATCTTTAAACTTATCTAGTCTCATTTATTTAATTGAATGGGTTTTTTTAATTAACTTTTATATATATTAATTATCAAAAGTTGTTGAAATCAAATTTAACTATAATATATATTTTTTAATTACTATAAGTGAATTTTCAGCTTATTCTCTTTCTATTTTTGTCTAACATATTTAGGAAATAAATGTCATAATTTTTGCTAGCTGCTTAATTAGCATTTGGCCAGAAAAATAATTGTACTAAGATAATGTAAATTGATTTTAAATAGGCTGAAAAAATATGATGGTTTAAATTGATTGATGAAAATGAAGGATTTAGATAAATAAATAAATAAATATATATATATATATATATATATATTCAACATTTTCTGCCGCCAGACTCTTCCAACAATTTGTTTAGTAGCATTAGGCTAAACGCCAAGCCAAAAATCATACAAGTTTTCAACCACGTCACGTCTGCCCACCCTAAACGTAAAACAATACTGGGGAGTGTGTTACAATCGTACTCTAGCAATGAGATAACGATTGTACGACACTTGTTCTGACTCCGTAATTAATTGTGTGAAATTTAGACTTCGCGGACAATATCTGCTTGTGCTTGACCCTCAAGTCACGTTTGCAAGAAATATTTTTAAAAACATTGGCGATGAAATATATTGAAAGCAATATTATAAGGTAAAAAGAGTAAGCAACAACAATGATTTTAATAACATATAACCTGCGTCGTCAACCTCATAGTTTTAAAACGCGTTTGTTAGAGAGAGGTTTCTATACCCTTATAATAAATGTTTTGTTCCTCTCTTCAACTTATGTGGGATCTTACAGTCCACTTCCTTAGAGGCCCAACGTCCTCATTGACAATACCAACTGATGTCTGTAGTCCAAGTCCACTACTTGAAGATACCAGCAAGATCCACCCCCCCCCCCCCCCCCCCCCCCCCCCCCCCCCCCCCCCCCCCCCCCCCCCCCCCCCCCCCCCCCCCCCCCCCCCCCCCCCCCCCCCCCCCCCCCCCCCCCC